AAGCGATTCGGCCAGCAACGAGACAAGCGACGGTGACCAGCTTCGCTGTCGCTCGCGGGCAGTCGCGCGACGAGGCAAACCGCATGGAAGCGACGGGAGCAAGCGACCAAGACGGTGAGCGACGTTTTCTAGAAATCCAAAAAACCGAGCGATGCAACAGGCGACACTGAGAAATCTTCGTCGCTGGCTCTCGTCATTGTCGCCGTCGCTCGTCTCGTCGCACGCTAAGTCGCTTACATGGGGTCGGCTTTACGGAAACGAGCGCGCACACGCAGCGAGAAGCACTACTGGATAGCCTTACTGCGTCAGTTGAAATTTGCATATGTCGCAATGTCGTTGACTGCCCTTTATTAGCGAGAAAAACGTTAGAATGGGATGAACTTACATGGTCTCTGAAACCATAATCCTGAATCGTCGATCCATTCGCTGTCCGATTCCATTTCATAAATAAGAAAATACAAGAGCTTTGTTAAAATATAGATATCAAATGATTAAATGAAAGCCCGAAATATCAAAAAGACCTAAAGAAACCACACGATTTCAAAGCGGAACGTAAAAAAACGCGAAAACAAAGCTCCGGTAGTGGCCGGTGCAGCACACAACGCGGAGGAACGGCGAGAAACTGAAGGGCGGCTATGGCGGCGGGGTCACGTGACGTCAAGATGGCGGCGCCCATGAAATGTTGCCTGAAAGGGTCTATATCTGCGTTCTTTTGACATAATTTCTAGAAGTAACGGTAACTGAACCAATTGGTTATACTCTATTCAAAATATGTAAGCCACACTGAAACTTCTTAAACTCTAATAGCCGCCTCGGTGGCTCCGAGGCGTGAGCGGTGGCCAACGGATCCCCATGTGGCGGGTTCGAATCCCGGCCGAGGCGCACGCTATCTGACGGAGACTCATTGCGGACTAGGCGCCGTGTAACCAAGCTTTTGTTTGCACGTCAAAAGGTCCCCAGACGATCGAAACTAATCCCCAATCCTCCGCTGGAGCGTGTCAGATGCCCATCGCTGGTTTGGCACGTAAAACTCACAAATTTGTTGTTTTTTTCTTAAGTTATAATTGTGACTTGACACCCATTTAGCTACTGATGTATTCTTGTAGCTACTTACTAATACTTCAAAGCATTTAACCACTTAATGTTCGGTCCTACTTTTTTGCTCCCACCGTAAATGACGTCACCTTTCTCTTTCCATTTGTGCTTGTTTTATGTTATTGTTTTCTTGGGTTAGAGCTCCGCCTTCGCGGCCGTAAAAAAAAAAAAATAAAAGAATGTCCCACTCTTCCTTTTGGCTTCATTTTCCCGAGACGTTTCGTCGCGGTATTGTTTTCCAACGCCTTCTTTAAACGGTCACGTTTTCTTTTGCATAACAGATTCACTCGTGAATAGGCCAAACGGAAATGATAAAGGTCTCTTCGCGGGTATTCAAATTACCAATTGTGTAGACATGTCACGTGTTCAGACACGCGATTGTCAGCCCTACGCCACTCCGGGCATCTAAGAATAGCGACCAAAATGCTCAACAACATGTTTAAAAGCGACTTACTTCCGGAGATACGAAAAAACAAAAACAAAAACAAGAAGGCGGAACACGCAATGACGGCTGTCGCCCGTGGAGCACCGACGTTACCTGTACCATCCCCATCACGCTTGAACGCTCCCGGACCCAGTTTACCTTTTGCGTGTTGCAGCCCCTTTGTAGACGATCACTACGCCTTAGGGAAGAAGGTAATTTCCTACGCGAAGAGCGTGATGGCGAAGCTGTGGTAGACCTTATTCCAGAAGACACTCTGTCGTAAGAAGCGACGCTCTATGAAGTATAGTACGCAAAGCACTGCAAAGCACTTGGTAGGGACAGTCGCTACAGTTCGCAGAGAGAGCTCGGCAAATGGCGACATTAAAAATGTTTTTCGACCCACAAAGCACTCTTTGCTGTGACACTGAGCACGACGGAAGCGGGTGAAGCGCCGCGCTTGGTGACCCAGCGCCGAATATAGTTTTAGGTCTAAACATATTTTCAGTCTCCTCTCTGATTTCAGCAATTGTCTAGCTCTCCAAGGGGCCCAGCAAAAGTGTTGATGGACGGTTTTGTTTTTAGAGTGTAAGATTAAAAGACCGCGAATCAACCAATACATTGAGGCAGTTAAGCATTAGGAGCAGTAGTACGTATCGAAAGTCGTTACTTGAATTGATATACCTGAGTTATAGGTTCTTAGAGCGAGTCGATAACTCGCAAATTATTTAAAATAACTACGCAGGGTGTACGGCCCCTTCTGTGATACCTGTAATACATATGATTTTACTCGATGGTGCATCGCAGTTCCATTTTGTTTCTCGATGCGAAAGAAAGGATAAAAAAGCATTTTCAAGTAAAGAGTGTAATCGCAACTTAACATTCTCCTTTAATTGATCTTTGGAACTCCTGCAGTGTATACGCTCGTTCTTACTGCAACCTATTAAAATTTGATAGTAAAGTCCGCGACCGCTTGAGAAACGCAGGGCGTCGCTTATTTTACGTTGTTGCTTCTGTCTTCGTGATTGGTTCTCTGATCGGTGAACGCCGCACGTCATTGGCTACAAAACCATGTAACTGCATTAAAAAAAAAAAAATCTGGAGCATCCATTTTTCCCGCGAAGTGCTTGAAAGAGCCGATCGCTGAAATCTACGGTGAACTATTGGCGAATGACGAAACTAAAAATATGTCTAGCTCTAAAAAAAGAACTAAAACAATAAACTGTTTTCACTGTGGCATGGCGAGGCGCCATCTAATTGGCACAGCGCAGACTGTCTTTACTGTCTAAACATATTATCAACCTTTTCTCATTCGCTGATATCTCACCTCAAATCGCAGTGATTGAGTCTCCTAGGGGGTTTGCGGAAAAGTGTGTGCTTTGTAAGTTTTAAGAGTTTTTAGTGGCGGCTGCAATGTAATAAAGTGTCCTGCTCCAGCGAGAGCGGAATATAGCTCTTCCGGTTATTCCCTCGAAAACAAAAGTCCTATAGCTGCCCGACCTAAATCTTTAATTGGTGTGTCACCTTGTCAAATGACAATAAGTCATAAATAGTTCATTTACGGATGTCGTAGAATGCGCGCTTAAGAAATGAGAAAGGTTTATTGTATCAAGCAAGAGAGGAAACCAGAATTTCCAGCCCCGTTTTCAAACATAAAGGGGCGTGTCAGTTAAGTGCGTGGGCATGAAAACTTATTGATTTCCTTGTAAACTGCCAAAACGCACGAGAGGAAGTAAATTCCTCCGCATGAAAACTGCATGAAGAGAATGAACATTTCTGCTGCGTCTCGGCGCAGTCAAAACCAGGCAAAGGTGAGAAGAACAAGCCGTATTAATTCTAAAAATTAACACCTCTAAAAAAATTAAGCCCCACATAGTTATTTTATACAATAATATACATTTTTGCTCACTATATTTCGTCTCATCCTACGATGGACTAAAGGCCAAAGCCACAGGCCGCCAGGTCCAATCACGTCCCACGCTATACTACGACACGCTTAACATTGATTAGGAATGGAGGAATGATGCTCCAATCCAGAAGCGCTGCATCATTTCTATAGCTTCGACGCTGCAAAAAGCCTATATGCCTTGGCTTTATTTGCAACGTAAAATTGTTGATTCACTCAGTCATCTTCGATTCGAACCACTGTTCACCCGTCCCCTCATCAGTGATCCGAGACGTGGTCAACGATACGCGCATCAAAGCGAAATACAGCAAAAGTTCTAAGTGGCTCGTGATTGGATCGGTCGGTGCTTAGCTTTTGCTTTTGGTCCATCGTAGGGTGAGACGAAGTATAGAAGCTATTTTTAAGCAGGGGTGTAATATCGGCGAGAAACTAAAAGAAATCTAATGCGAGCGCAAATTGGTCCATTTTAAAACTATGCTGCTCTAAATGTTTTTTTTTTTTCTTTCTTTGATTCCTATCGCAGAGAGCAGGAAAGTTGCGATGTGTTTGAGGTCTGTCCGGACGCCTTTCGCGTCCTCAAGACAAAGTTAGCATCGAGGTCACAGGAAGATGGCTGGAAACATGCCCGTCACATTGTTTGCACATCTCTCGGTTTTTAGACGAAGTAAATTAAAAAAATCAACAAAAAAACGACGTAACGCAGTTAGGTAATTGGCCCCGCTCTTCGTGTATGAGCATTGTTTGTATTAAAGCTTTCCGGTCGTTGCATAATCGCTGACATGAAACGAGTCAAAACGCCCCCTAGACCACAGTCATCACAGACAGAACTGATAGCGTTGGCCAGTCACCCAAAACTCTCTAGTTCCCCCCCCCCCCCCCATCCCACCCCCTCCTTTAAAAAATAAAAAAATAAAGACAACAACAAGCGCCGGCGTTGTTTAAAAAAAAGTCTCTAATGGCGGCGTACGAAAGACATATATTTGTTTCGTGCCGATTATTCGTGTGTTAAAATACGTATTGGTGCGGAGACAGGCGTTTTCGCGACCATTGCATCTTGTCTATTTTGAAGTCGGGGGTAAATTTGAAATGGTAGGAGGTATAATTGTAAAACCATTTTAGTGCTCATGCTTTAATCTAGTTTTTTTTTTTTTTTTTTTTTAGCATCTCTAACCTTTTTTTTCAAAAGTACGAATACTTATCTGAGGGTTACGATGTTGACTGCCCAAAGTACAATAATAACTTTTTAGTTAGCTATAGTCATTGGCACTTTAAGAAATACAAGGCTTGGCGAATTTCGAGCATCTCATTATCGCCAGCAACCAATAAGAAGTTACGCAATCAATAAGCAAGGAGGTAAGACTCCGCGCCTTGCGATTTCCAAGTTTACGGAGACTATCATACCTGTATAAATAGGACGGCGTAATTTAAAATTATGAATGAGTAGTTCTTTAGGAAACCGAGTAGAAAACAAATGAAAGAGGTTGAATGTTAAAATCAAAGGATGACTTAGTACGGGTCTTGTATTTTTGTTTTGTTTTTTTATGTCATAATTTTTTGAAACGGAGTAAGTTCGCTTACCGGGACGCTGTCCGTAGACAGCCACGAATAGCGTGACGAGGAAGAAGCCCAGAAGCTCGTCGCGTCGAGTCATGCTTGTTTGACGGCGCCGGACCACAACGAAGTCGCCGACGTACTTGCTACCGTCGGTGCCCGCAGTCGAGTGTCGACTTGGCCGAGCTGGTCACCAGATCCTTTGTTCATGCGACCAAGATAAGCGTTCGCGCCAGCGGCGGCTTCTGTGAAGTGGCCTCGCAACGTCGCGCGTTACATCCTCCTTGCGACGATTAGCGGCGCCGATTAGCGTGGGACTCCGAATGTCCCGCGCCCGTGCAGGTTGGCGTTGCCGGCGGCCGCCGAGCGCTGGCGGTGGCGCTTGCAGCGTCGTCGACCGTTTTTGAGGCGGTCGGAACTTGGGGTTGAAGAAAGTTCTTCGTGCTGCGATCGAATTCGCTAGTCAATTAGTTAATGGGAATGTATTTGAAAAAAAAGTTTCATCTTTGTTCATTTGATAACACGCGATGAAATGCGCTAGCTTTAAGAAGCATCGAAGAGTGAAAATAGTTTGGAAAGGAAATGGTACGACGTTTAGGACGACGTCGAGAACGTCGTCTAGAGCGACCTCTAGAACGACCTCTAGAACGGCGTCTAGGAGGACGTCAAGGACGACGTCCTAGAGGACGACTTCAAGCGCGCCGTCTAGGACGACCTCTAGGAAGACATTAAAGACGACGTGTAGAACGACCTCGAGGACGACCTCTAGGGCAGTCTCAAGAACGACCTCTGGGACGACGTCGAGGACAACGCCAAGGACGTTAGGTCACTTCAGCTTCAGCTACCGGCGCTTATTAGCTTACGCGACCAGCGCTTTCATGACCGGTGTTTACGCGACCGGGGCTTAGGCGACCGAAGCTTAACACCTTCCGCGACCGGAGCTTCAACCAAGGGCTCTTGTGCCATGGGCACAAGAGCCCTTGCAGCCACGAGCGCTTCAGCCACCCCGCTTCAGCCCCGAGCACTTCAGCCAAGGGCGTTCCGAGACCTTGAGTGTGGTAGGGCCTATAAAGGCTACCGCTTTAAGAAAAAAGCTCATATAGGCAGGCGCCTGCGTGTTTCCTATACGCAATCATATGGGTAAGGGTATGATGGTTGACAGCAACACTTCATTCACCTTTAAGGGCCTACGTACAAACTCGTTTTTTTGCGGGGAAGATAATTCCCTTAGGGCTCACCTCTCCAAAGCTGCGAGGAGAGTCAAGTTGGGGAAAGGTAAAATTGGAGAGGATATAGGAAAGGAGGAGGCGGGAAAGAGTGGAACGAGTGAAGTGTGCGTCAGCTTTTAAGCTGAGGCCGCAGCCAAAGCTACAAGCGCGAGTTAGCCAGCACTCCTGGCTTTCAAACGTGCCTTTCTAGCGCGAGCGCTCCTTCTGCGAAAGAATGTTTTAAAGCCGTCACCTCATGCTCTCGTGTTTGTTGCAAATAAAAAAAAAATTGGGTTGTGTGTATGTTTATACAGCCTAGAACTTGGCCTGCCCCAACGGGCGACTTGTCTCCCAGCTGTAGATAAAAAAATTTAGTCAGTGCAGTACAACCGCTAGCCTGGGGTCTCCACGTGCTCCGAGCCGGTGTGCACTAGCCCACTCAGCCACCGATTGGCTGCAGTCTCAGCTTAAGGGTGAGCCTCCCGTTGCTGCAGAGCACAGCAACAGCCAATAACGACGAACAATAAAAGATCACAGTCAACGCTGAAGCTGGCAACACAGCAAACAAAAATGCGATGGGCTAAAGTTCATTTCAACATGACGTTTCACTATATTATATGACTATAATAAATTAATTCATGGAAAAAGCAATAACGTAGTGACATATAGGCAGGTGTGTGTGTGTGTGTGTGTGTTTTTTCTTTTATAAAATAAAAGTGACAGTCCATGCGTTACCTTGTTATGTTCGGATACACTTCAAAACGTTTACCTCGCCACGTTCCAAATATTCTTTTTAGACTGCTAAGGCATTTCGTCATAGTTCTCTTTTGAGTCAATTAAATCATGTTTCGCGTTGGGAATGCCAGTCCTGCTTGTTTTATCAAAGTACCCCTTCCACACATTTCAGCAATTCGATTACTTAATTTGAGTATCCTTCTTCTTTTATTGTCCCGTAGCTGAGAAAGTTAAGGTGCGATCTCGAAATCAACTCTAAAATAGTAAATTACGACTGGGTGATCATTGTCTTCTCAATTTGGTTTAAGCCCTTTTATCCGATCTCGATTCTGCTGGCAGTTTTTTTTCGTCTGCAAGTTACATTTCAGCCTCAGTTCATGTTCGGCTGGAATGCTCAGTTCGGCTCAGAATTTTCGCTCAGCTGGAGGAGGAGAAGGAAAACAATGACCGCATCTCCATGTGGTGAATTATGTTGATTGGGGCGAAGCTCTGGTGGTGCTCGTCTGCGTAGACGCAGAGCCGCAGCATGCCGAGCCTTTCTTTCGTTTTCATCCATGTCAGAAAGAGGATGTGTAATATGGAACGTGGTTATATACGCATTTGACCGCAGCGCCCTCTGTCTATAAACGTTGAGCCAATGCATGCAAAGTTTAACGCGATTATATACGCATCTGACCGCAGCGCCCTCTCCTGTATAGATGTTGAGCGGCTACATGCACGTTTCATCCATGACATCCCCAGCTCTTGAATTACTACCACATTTTGAGTTACCACCACTCGTCCCGCAGTCGTGGCCGAGGGGATAAGGCGATGGACTAGAAATCCCTTGATGTCTTCCCGCACAGGTTCGAATCCTGTCGACTGCGCAAACATTTCTTTTTTATCTTCTTTTTTTTTTCCTGCCCTACACGAGCACGTGAGCACGTGAGCTCACGAGCACGAGCAAGATCGATGTGAGCACGGACGCCGGACGGAGAAAGCTAGACTCTAAGGAGCTTCGCCCCTAAACATTTATTGACGGAATATGAAGAACTCCTTAGAGTGCCGCCCTCGTTGTGGCCTTGGTGGTAGCGACCTCCTTAGCCCTTTCCAGCAAGGCGCGTTGCACCTCATGGTCGGAGCGAGGTCTCCCACTCATCATGGGATGGGATTGGGAGTAGTGGCGACACAAGGAGGTGGGCGGACCACACCGGGTGCAGCGCTCAGGGGGGTGTTGCGGTGGGCCACGAGAGCGGGGGGAAGGGGGGGGGGGGTGGGGAGTCGCGGCGGGCCACGCGAGAGCGGGGAGGGGGGGAGGGGGGGGGGAGGGGGGGGTGTTGCGGCGGGCTACTGCTCCGGGTACCGCTGATCCTCGTTACGCCACTGGTTGGGGAGAAAGGGTCTTGTGGGCAAGCCCAGATTATGTGGGTCAGAGTGGCTTTGTCGCCACATAGGGTGCATTCCGAGGTGAAGTACATTGAGGGGAAGGTGAGGGTGGCTGGGTTGGAAAAAGTGCCCCTCTGGAGTTACCGCCTACAAATATTTGTCCTAAGCCGGCTAGTATACTAGGCCCCAAACCTACGCCTCAGGTTTACCTTCACCAATAAGGTTAATACCTTGATCCGCAAGGCCTACAAGATAGCACTACGCCTACCGCCTAGCACTCCAACTGCCAAACTGGAAGGACTCGGTTTGCATAAGCACCTGTACGAGTTAATAGAAGCACTAGGCTCCTTCGCTCGGCTGGATGTTTCAATTTGGCTTGAAGACTCAATTTTGCTGAAAGTATCGATTCAGCTCAAGCACTTCAACGCGTCTGGAAGTTCCTTGTAGTATTCAGAACAACCAGATGTCCGAGAAGTTTATAGCTTAGCCAAGCCGCCTAATTGAAAAAAACTTGAGTGTCTTAAAACAAGCTTGTCTAATCAATATATTGCTGCAGATGAGAACATAATCAAGTAATCTTAACTGGTTAAGGTTTCTTAACATGCCCATAAAATGCATCTCAGCTCTCCGGGTTTACAGTTTAGCTTAATTTTTCCTGCAGTGCTGACCGCAGCGACCTGGCTCCCAACTTGTCCTATTTTCTATTTTAATTTATTTCTAATGCTGTATGAGAGACAGATCTTAGCGAACATTGGGTTGACCGGCATAATTGCTTGTTTATATACATAATCTTTTTGGAACTCATAATCTTTTGGAACTCTGACAACATGTTGTTCGGATCTTAACTCTATACTCGTTATATTATTTGCGTATATGTTGAGAGTTCTGTTTTACCAATTGTGTTAACAGTCGTCTGTTCACGAGCGCTTGTTGACAGAGGAAGGTTCAGATTCAGGGTATAATGATGTGGATTTCTTGATTGTATGGATCACCATGTTATTATTGAACTATATCTGTTTTATTTAATCTGTATCAGCTTTCACATTTTTTATTGCATCAGGTGTGGTCCTCTCACCTGCTTGCAGACCTAACCTAATTCTTATGTTCTTTTAAGTATCTTTATTTTACTTCATTCAATAATATATTTGCCTTTTTTATTTAGTCACCAAAGTCATAGCATGTGGTTCTGGCTGGATATCCTTAATTTTTTCGAAAACGTCCCCTTTTTGTAGACACATAGAATCCAATTTTAGCTCCTGAGCAATATTGGTACTGGCGCCATTTGAGAATGATCCGATACCATCTAACTACAATTTTGTGGAAACCCTCAATTCGCTCAGGAAAGTAACTGACTTGTTTGGCCTGATCGAACGACGGTTAAGTACAGTGAACGCTGTAGTTTCACCGACTCAATAATTTATCTCAGTCGTAACGCGTTTCTTTTCTCGTTACGATAGGTTACAAAATAATCCCAATTGCATCCTCTATTCAGTTTTTTTTTTCTCGTAACTGTGCCGAATAGACTTGAGCCCACAAACTTGTTCAATGTCTGGCGCACAGCCAGTCACATTTTGTATATGCTTCTATGTATTTATTTATTTATCTATTTTAATCCAAAGGCCCTCTCGGGCGTTACATAAGGGGAACGTGATACAAAGAATGGTAGAACTGAACCAAGTGGCAAGAGAAAGAGACAAATATAAAAAAATAAAGGTACAAAGCATTTCGCGCATTTTTGGCCTTCAAACATAAGATATAAAAAGTTCGCGCACAATAAAAACATGTACATCAAAAAAACAAACACACTGACACCAACAAATATTGCAGGGATACAAGACCATTCAAGGTTTAACATGCTAAGAGCGGAGACAAATGACTGATGGTCACTGACAGAGGCAATGTCTCTAGGGAGGCTGTTCCAGTCCGATATAGATGTCGAAGAAATCGCTGAAGCTATAAACTAAAACCAAAATTACCTACTCAAGCTGACTCCATTTTTTCTTTTATTATAAATGGTTGTGGTTTGGGTTTTTACCTGTTTTGAAGCACGTCTTCAACCTATCTCTTAGCTTCGGTGTTTTTCCATCGCTTTGGAAGAACGCGATGAATGTACCTAATTTCAAAGGTGGTGACGCTTCGGCTACTAATAACTATCGCCCCATATCTTTATTGCCTGGATTTTCTAAGATGTTTGAACGGGTTCTGCATAACCGAATTCATTTTTACTTCCTGCAAATGTTTCTATCTTGCCAGCACGTTTTCCTGATTGGACGGTCTGTTGAAACTAATTTGTGAGCTTTGTTGAACTTCCGTGCCCCTGTTGTTATGAACAAA